CACCTCTCAGCTGATGGGAAAAAACCATCAATGCATTCAGTTATACATGCTCTTTTATGACTATCCATAGCAGCGGTTTAAGTCAGGTCTTGATGCATGGGTGGGAACGTAATATCATCGTCATGGTCACTTGTACCATGTGCTATAAACAGACAGACCGACAGGCGAATTTCGATTTCTAGACTCTATCCTTTCAGTCAAGGTAAAATTTGTCTAAATTATTGTCTCTCTTGGAAGATTCCTTCAAGGTAAGACTCAATGGGACGAAGGAGTAGGTTAGTCTCGAAAGCTCGCTTAATGAAGCATATATTAAAAATAAAAAACATGAATGTGGCATACAGTTCTTCATAAGTAAATGCGAATAGAATTGAAGGAGAAATAAAGATTATAAAACAACAAAAATGTCTACACGTACAAGTTGATATTTTGAATTGAGTTTTTTCTCTGAAATCACTCTACGCATCGATATTTTTTGCTAATAAATTAAATATCTAAAATAAAGCAAAGAATAGAAACTGTGATTAAAAAACAGGACTTCATGGATAACGATAGAAGATGTCATCTTAAAAAAAAGACAAGTCTTTTCAACTTAGCATTAATCTAGGATTTAAGAACTCATCTATGTAAAATGGAATCTACTATAGAACAATGCTAATGGTCCGATTTCTTGTTTTGAAAACATATCTGATGTTAAAAAAAAACATCTTTTGAAATAAATAAATAAATGCGAATGCGAATTTTAGTTCAATGGTTTTTCGAAAATTGTTCAATGTCATCAATGTCAAAACTAAATTTTTCTCTTAATCTTCAAATTATAGTAGAAAAATATGTAAAAATTATAATTAATTGTCAATTTTACAAATCATGAAGTCTTTCTCTAATCAGTTGATATTTCACATCCATTTACTGAAATCAATGATTATATAGGATTAATCGCTCAGATATATAGTCGATTTTTAAAAGAATTATTTCTTATGTCATAATCACGATAAAATCCTATTTACTCATTGATTTTATGGCAGTTTTTTTGAAAATCGCCTAAATAACGACAATTTCTACAGCATGGAATATTATATTATTCCTATACTACATTAGTCATATATTGCACATTTTCGCCGATGATTCTATTGAATTCAAGATTTAAAGTTTCAAGTGTTTGTGTTCAACGAATCTGATTGATATGAGAAAACAGATGGAGAATCTATTTTACAGAATGTTTTGTTTCTCTATTGACAATTTAATTGTTAAAAAGGTGCAGGTTCGTGAGTACTTATGTCAAGTGATTCTCGAAAATAAGTGACAGACAAACAGAGAATGTATCATACCATGTAACGTTCATTATCTACATATAGTATACTTTAAGCCTACTTAATCTCACTCTATGCTTTTTCTTGGAATCCAAATAACCCATTGTATATGAAGTAAGTGAGACAGCTGAAATCAGATTTTCTTTTTTTGATTCTTTAGTAATTCTAAATAAAAAAAATCATTGTGATAAAAAACTTCAGAAAAATCAACATAATCGAAAAGATCTTTTTTTCTGTAATTATAACAAAAATATTTAAAATCAAGGCACAAAACGTTGAAAACCAGACTTTTTTAAATAAGAAATGTTTTGGAATTTTTTTGATTTAAAATTGATAAATAAAATTTTTAAAAAATCAGCTCTTTCCTATGGACATCATGTTCAAAATTCGCTTTTTCAGTCGCACTGTTTGGAAGTAACTACTTATCAAATAACATGTTAATTCAATTGCCAATGATTAATGTAACTAGACAATTGTCTCAGTTATTACTTTGTGGATACTTATTATTTGTAAATTATTTCACCAGTATTCAAACCAACATATTTTTTTATTTTCCTTTTCCCAAGATCTTCTAACAATCGTTCTAGTTTTGTTTTTGTTTGTATATTGGTTACTTTCTTCATATTTTACATCATATAGAGATTATCCATAAAAAATGTCTAAAGAATTGGGTGAGGACGTGTACAAAAAGTAGACAAACTTGGAAGCGAAGAAGGATGGGATCAGACACATTTCTACACGTTCAGGAGGTAGAGGCGATCGATGAAACTTGACTAAATGGATGAAGGATAAAAAATATGACTTTTATTTTGACGCCATTTATAAATGGCCTCTAACGTAAACACTCATAAAATAACCCCATTCCATGAAAACATGTATTAATTTCGAGTATATATTTTATATGCATCCAAGTAATATTTTTCAAACTTAATTAGATGAAACATCTGTTTCAACAGGTGGTACTATTATCTGGCATGTTGTTGAAATATTCGAAACATCAAGGGACGGTCGATGATTGTGAGTTCTTGTTTATCTTAACGAAAAAACTGACCCTAATAGAGTACATGAGCTAACATTTATATGAGTTTTCTAGTCTGTAGTACTTTTAATGGTTATAGTAAAATTATTTTGGTAAATCAAAGTACTAATAATAATTGACAATATATTGTAAAATGGTGTTCTGTCGAAATGAACAATGTTAATGATTGTATTAAATTCATTCATTTTATTCATAAAAATTTACTATACAAAGAATTAAATTCATACATTTATTAAATGCGGTTCTTCAAAGCACCTTGGTACATTAAAATTATTCATGAATTTGGCAATGAAGTTTACATCTTATTCTCTTTTTTTTACTGATTCATATCTAATCTATAGTAGAATTCTTTTTATCTTGTCATTTTCATTTATTCTTGATATTTCTCGAGTTTTATATAAGAATAAATCGAGATAAGAGATGATAGCTTTACTATTCTTGTAAGAATCAACGAATATAGTTACCAAGTTAGGTTCAAATTAGACTCTATATTATGTTTAGTTGTATAACTGATGTGAAAAATAAATACACATTAGTATTTTAATTCATAAAAAAATGTAAAAATGAAACCTCTAATTTGAATATAAAACGGCTATATTCAACAATCGAAATTATTCTTTATATTTAAGTTTTCTTTTTGTTAAGTAATATATTCTCTCCTGTAGTCTAAATACTAACACAACATTTCAATAAAATATGTTGAAATTATATTATGTAATTTTATATATATATATAGTGAATATTTATTGAAAAAGAAAATGTTTAAAGTTGTCACCATCTTTCACTTTTCTATTGTATCTGAGATTTATTGTAGCTTCAAAAAATGATATAAAACATATTCATCATGATAATTGTTTGTAGTATGTAGTGCTAATATTTGGTGATTGTGGCAAGTAAAATACATTATTGTTGTATATGTATGGGTGTTACTATATTTGTCCTTCGTGTTGGTTTGAATATTTCTTTGATTTGAGGAGTGACATAGACGAGCATAAAACTAAGAACGAAGAAACCAGTGACTACAGCCATATTCTGAATGCGATAAAACAATGGTTTTCCTACATCAGTAAAAGGTAACATTAGTCTCAACACAACAGAAGGAATACCCATCACTGTTAATATGGATATAACAAGTACAATACGATGTGCTACAATCAAATCACGTTTAGCTTGTGCTGAAACAGTCATAGATGATCGACGAATAAAACGCGTCAGCTGTATATAAATAATATTGATGAGAATAATTGGTATAACATATATAATTAGAGTACTCCAAATAAACCCACGAGCACTATGAATAGCTAGCAAGCAGACATTTTCCATATGTATAAATTGTATATCATGCCACATATGAATGGGTAGAATAAAAAGAAACGACATAAGCCACAAAATTGGAATAATCACAGCGTAAGTAAGAGCATGTTGTAACCATACATAAGAAGGATAGACCACACGAAAGAAACGAAAGACAGCCTAGAAATGAATGTATATTTTTTAAATTTCGAATGCCTATTAAACGAATTATAGACTTTGAATTACTACAGAAATTTCTAAAATGGCATAGTAGTTTACCTTCTTCAAATCTCTACTTAATGGCCCCCGCTTAGAAAAGTCGATTTTTCGAGAAAAACTCGATTTCCAAATTTATACGCATTCTGATGGTCCTTCCAATGGGCTTCCAGCTAGCATAATTTTTTCTGTCAAAAGAAGAAGGTTAGCTTTTTTTTCTGAATGAAATGCAGTCTTCTGAACTAACCAGATTATTGATAAAAACATGCGTGACTTGCAGTGACATCTACGTATTAGGGACCATGACCACAACTTTCCAATGATATGTACTTGTAAGAACATTATGATATAGCTGTCTATACGCCATCTATCGAAGCTGGACGAATAGTGCAAAAATATCAGGTAACATAGGTAGACTTATTTCGAACAGAGACACTTGCTCAATCAAAACATTGCTTTTCGTTTTTCTCAAAATCAGTTTTTTTGAGCATACTGTTTACGCGGGCATACCTTACTCAATAACGACTCAATATAAAAGTGGTAATATTTTCTTGTAATATAGCAGATACCTGAGACTAGATCCTAGTAGAGCCGAACTTTTGAATTTCTCCTTTGTTTAAATAACAAACTTAGATCTTTGATTTTAATTAGCGATTTTTTGGCCACGAATTTCAGAATTATTCGAAAAAGTTTTTTTAAAAAGCAAACAAAGGGAGATTAAAAAATCGGGCTTTGTTAGAATCTAGCCCTAACTGTACTCTACAGTTTTAAAACCGTCCCGACATGCTTAGCTGAAGTCCTCATGGTGAAAACCTTACCCGCATAAAGGCTATTTTTTACCAATGAATTGACTATAGCTCGTGAATGTCTCGTAGATTTGGGAAGATATTTTAACCATAATCTACTCTTGTCAAGACTAATATCCTCTGACATTTTGGTTGCATTCCATGGAAAAATAAAGAAGATTGTTTGTGAGGGAGGAGGTGCCCTTAAGCAGTGAATTTTTATATTTTGATTATGGAAAAGTTTTTAATAAGAAATATGAAATAATATTATGACAGATAATGATCGATTACTTATACATATTGGATCCCTCCATGAACTATACGCATGACTCTTGATGTAGAGAGAAGAGGATGGAATAGGCTATCCTGGCTGCACTTCTCGAATGTATGTGCTAAAATTTTCTACTGACGAGGGAGGTACCCGAAGTGATTAATCGGTTTTGAGTTCAAACTCTGTGCACAAGGTAGACCCCAGTAAGGTGCGAAAAAATTCAAAAGGATAAGGGCCCATAGGCCTTTCCTCCAGAGT